CTCTCAGTGACACTTTCCTTTATTCCATAGCCTTCTCCTTTTCAGGGCAGGGCAGGGGAGAGAGAGAGAGTGAGAGAGAGACTGGGAACTGGGAGCTGGGGCTAGATTAGGGGGATGGTCAGCTAGGGCCTCACAGTTTCTGGAGCCACCTGTTGATTCCATCATCCTCCAGGCTCTGCTGCTCAGTATTCTCACTCATGGCCATTTGCTTTTGGGGGCTCCATTATTTTCTGTACCAGATCAAGACCATAGGAACTCTTAGCTCATTGGAGAGATCTATAAACATCTGAAATGTATACCTATCCCAGGGCTTCTGGGCCCCATGAGAATCATGCAACCTGTGTTAGCAGACTGGACCATTCTATAACTGGGAAGTTCCTAATACTCTGTGACAGAAGATAGTTCTAACCAAAGTTCCTACAGGATTTTTAAGGATTCATGGGATCCACCTCCACATATTAGCCTAATAAGCGTAGTATCCTATTTCTGACCTGTCCCCAAATAATACTCATTTGACCTCATAAAAAGAAAGTGGGGTGGTAGCAAAGGGTTAAGGGGGTCAAATGTATGGTGATGGAAGGAGAACCAACTCTGGGCGGTGAGCACACAATACAATATATAGATGATGTATTATAGAAATGTACACTTGAATCCTATATAATCTTACTAACCAATGTCACCTCAATAAATTTATTAAAAAATACATAAATAAAAGAAAAATGAGGCGGAGGAAGGCTATACCAAAAATATTAATAATGGTTATATAAGGAGATGATATGGCAGATGATTTTAACTGTCATTTTTATACTCTTTTAACTTCCCAATTTTTGAAAAATGCACATTTGTTAATTTTATATTGATAAAAACAAGCCACAAAACAAACGAAAAGAAAAAAAAAAGAAATCTATTATGTTCCCAAAGGTTTGCTCAGTAGCTTCTCATGTTGTTAAAAACGTAAGATACTTTTGGTGGGATTGCAGATTGGTGTAACCACTATGGAAATCATACAGAGGTATCTCAAAACACTGGAAATGGAACTATCTTATGACCTAGCAATTCCACTCTTAGGCATCTATCCTGAGAAACCCAAAACGCTAATTTGAAAAAATATATGCACCCCTTTTATTGCAGCACTATTCACAATAGCCAAGACATGAAAACAATTGAAGTGCCCACTGGTAGACGACTGGATTAAGAAACTATGGTACATTTATACAATGGAGTATTACTTGGCCATAAAGAAGAGTGATATCTTACCATTTGCAGTGATATGGATGGACCTAGAGAACATTATGCTAAATGAAATAAGTCAGATGGAGAAAGACAAATACCATATGATCTCACTTATATGTAGAATCTAAAGAATAGAATAAATGAACAAACTAATCAGAAACAGTCTCAGAGACATAGAGAAAAAAACTGAAGGTTGCTAGGTGGGAGGAGGGGTGGGGATGAGGGAGAAGGTTAGGGGATTAGAAAGCACAAATTGGTAACCACAAGATTGCCACAGAGATACAAAAGACAGTTTGGGGAACATAATCAATAATGGTGTAAAGATTTTGTAGGATATCCAATGGACACTTGTCTTATTAGGGAGACCACTTCATGGATGGTGTAGGTGCCTCACCACTGCAGTGTACACCTGAAGCTGAAGCTGAATAATACTGAATGTCAACTATAACTATAACTATAACAACTATAACTATAACTATATATATATGGTCACAGAATGTGGAGTACAGCGTAGGGAATAGAGTCAATGGAATTGTAACAGCTATATGATGTCAGAGGTGTAGTAGATTGGGGGAGGAGGGTTATCACTTTGTGAGGGGTGTAAATGTCTAACTATTACGTTGTTTAGTATACCTGAAACTAATAAAAAAAAAATTAAAGACATAAAACACCCTTTACCTATTCAGTGGTGCACCAAATTTACCAATACTTCCTGGGAAGCCACACACGCACACACACAAAGGCAGCAACTGGAAATAATTCCCTTTTAAGTAATAAATAATGGCCACTGTGAATCAAATGCTTTCCAAAGGAAAAGAAAAAACAAGAAGTAAGATAATTCCTATTGTTTAGAATTTTTCGTGATTACAAAGGCTTCCCTAAGTAGATATTTCAACTTCAAACCTCATTTGGGATTTTACATTGATTCTTAAGCATACTTTTGTTTTCTTCATTAGGCTTTCACATTTTAAAGTTTTTTTAAAAAAATCTATTTACTTATTGTCATCTTTTCTCCACATCTGTCTATTTACCATGTCACACAAAATGAATTATCTAACCGTAATCTCCTGGGTGTCAATATCTAGCTACAGAATAGAATTAAATCCCTTTTCCTCCCTATGACATTATTTCTAGAGGCCTCTTATCAGAGCAAATTCTCTTCTTTTCTTATTAAAGGTTGTGCTGTCAGGGAAACAATAGCTAGTCCTACACATGTGACTAATAAAAGCCAGGCATTTGATTAAAAGTGACTAGCATTAGAAATGTGAATTTCCATAATTATACTCTCCCGTCCACCCTTCCAAACAACTGAATGTTATCTAATAAAGGGTGCTATGAGAAATGCAAAAAAAAAAAAAATTAAAAAGATATTATTTTGTGACTAGTATGGAATATTGGGAGTTCAAAAACAAAACATACTTCTGTTTAGATGCATGATAACTTCTTAGATACCATAAAGCATAAGTCAAAATATATATGTTTAAAATTTACTTTTAGTAAATCTACTTTCAAAAAAAATAGACATACTCTATTCATGTCAGTAAAACCATGATTCACAAACTATCCATATGAAAGGCTTCAAAATGAAATGCCTGACAAAATTGAAATCATTGAGCTATATATAGTTTATATAGATTCTCTTGCATGAAATCCTCTCAGAGAGCCTATGAGAAAGATGAGTTTGATACCCTTATTTTATTAAAGAGGAAGCTAAGGATAGAGGGTGAGCTACAGACACAAAGGTACCCAGCTACCCAGTCATGGAGTTGAGAGTCAAACTTCAGATGTCTGAATCCATTGTCCATGTTTTTTCAACTACTAGGCCAAGCTACATCTCTTCATGGAAGCATGGGCAGATCCTAGCTTCTTAATAGCTAATTTAAAGCTACCACTATAAACTAGTTTTGCCACTATCTGTTATTCACCACCCTTACCGTTTCCTCTACCTACATTAATACACATCTACTTTAAAAATGCCGGAAGTGTATTAGACTATGTGCTAGGTCCTCTTGCTCTAATATCCGTTTGAGGCCACCTTGCAGGCTGCCCTGTAACCAAGTTGAGTGCATGCAAACCAAGGCAAACTTGGCAGTGGTGCAATGTAGCAGGCAGAGGGAGGCTCTGAGGTTGATTTTTACTTGGCTTCTCTCAGTTAGAGTGTCATGTGGACTCTTAGAGCCTGTGTATACTGGCTCTGAGGCCTCTATTGGGGCCTTCACAACAGAAATGAGGGGATGGACTTCTAAGCCTGGTGCTTGGAAGGAAGACAGGGCAGAGACTTATGTATCTACAGCCAATGAGAGCTGAGGGGGGGCAATGCCAGCAATAGAGAGATGCCTAGTGCTCCCAGAGAATACTGTGTGAGTCCAAAGAACTGATCACAGGTTCAGGCTGCAACTGTAGGAGGTCGGGTCAGCTTCAGACACCAGCCCCGAGCCCAGCATGTCCTGCCAGCACAATTCTGAACACTAGCCCTGGGCCAGGGAGTCCCTTGCCCTCAGGCAACTAAGACAGGTAGCCTCCTTTGCACACACCCAAATTCCATCTTAAGGAGCGAAGCTGGGAACGTGAGAGGATACATGAGAGCCAGAATTTTTATGCAAGGAAGACAAACACGACTTAAAGGAACCATGTGACTTTTTAAAGCAGACCAAACTTTTAATTACATAGAAAAAAAGTCAGTTTTTTACCTTCAATAAATAGCAAGTAGTGAGTAGGTTAATAATGATTAGTTATGGTCAAAGTAAAACAAGTTATTTTCTTTGCATACTCCAGATGCAGTACAAACTACACCTTGTCACACCTACACATTGGCATTCACTGAGCATCACTTTAGTTTCCCAGTCTCTCTATATGTATTATCTCATTTAATTCTCACGTAAGCCATGTAAGGGAGGAACCATTATAAACTCTATTTTATAGAAAAGGAAAATGAGGCATAGAGAGGTGAAGCAATTTACACAAGTTCACATCACTAGCAACATAGCTGGGACAGAAACGCTGCTGACTTAACTTGAATGTTTTTAATTTAAACATACTTAAAATATATCTTAGATGAATTGGGTTTTTGAAATTTGAAGATGTTCAAGCGGAAAACTGCTTAATAAAGAAAGCAGGGTCTGCTTGTGAAGAAGCATTTGCTTTCTAACTTGCATTTGAGATTTTAGACTTCAGGTAAACTTTAAAAGGAACTTAAGCCTAAAAGGAACAGTCAGAATTCTGTCAATTTTGATGGCAGTGAGGTCATAATACGTGTTCACAAGAAAGATACTTTCAGTACAATTAGAAGTAGAAGACCATTGGCTTCTCCCCTCAACTAAGAAGCCTCCAAGGCAGAAGTCTGCAAGCTATGGCTTTTGAGTTAATCAAGTCTTGGTTTAATTCCTCTTCAGCCACATAAAAGCTATGTAAATCAGTGACCACTCTGAGCTTGTTTCCATAAAGTTAACATGGCAACGTGTCAAATAAGGATTAAATGAGGCAACATTTGTAATATACCGGACATGGTGCCTGCCACACAGTTGGTGCTCAAAACTGTCAATCTGCATCTGCCTGTCCTTTATTTTTAGTGAATCCTAATATTATTCAGTTCTCTGTGGCTTACTACATATATAGTCAAACAATCACTTTAATTCCCAGATTTTGTTTTGATATTTATTGAAAGCAAATGTACACTTGCTGATTTAATACCAGGGGCTACAAAGGCCGAGCAAAAGAAATAATGTCCTGAGGTATATTTATCAAGTTTAGAAAATGCATTCACTTACCAGCTCACTAAATTCATTATTGCCTAGGTCAAGTCTTTCCAGCTGGGTCAGTTTGTGCATTGACCTATAACAGATGGAGAAAAATACCATTGTGAGGCAGTGCATGAAACATTACACCAAGACATTCCACCCATCCGCATGTCAGATTTACCTGGGTGTACAGTGCACAGAAATGGGGGTAGTTTTCAGCAAGACTTAAACTGCACGTATACAGTAATGTATGCAAACTGTCACCTGAAAGCCTTTAGTAGCTTACCATGTTCCCAAATACCAGTTTATAGTTGGAGTACAGCATTGGCTGCTTAAAACCAAAACCAAAACCAAAAACCTGGGAAGCTTGTGACACAGTAGGCGGTATAGGGAGGAGCCCCCACATCTATATTTTTAAGAGTCACCACAGGTATGGGAACCAATGGATGAAACCAATTCTTAGCAAAGCATTCTCAAACCCTACAAAACAGACACAATTTCATCACCAATCTTGTCATTTTGTCCTTCCCTAAATGAAAGTCTGTTATAGACAAACTGTTGTACTCAGTGTTTCCTACACATTGGCCTGGATGCTGCTACAGCTAAGAACAGTTGCAAAACCTTGGACAAGAGTTGCTGCAAAGGTTAGAGGTATCTTAGCACATGCTATGTGCACAAGCATTTCTCAAGCCGCTCTCAAGTACAGCATACAACATGAGAAGAGATAGTGTTTTCGTGAGTGTCAAATTTTTCTCTCTCCACCCACCTGAATGCTGTCCTTAAGTCCTGACTATACAGAAATCCTGGAGCCATAATTAACTCAAATCTTAGATATTTTAGTTCTTTCACCTTTAGAATGGATATAGCAATTTTCTTATGGGGGTTTTATGAAATATTACTATAATCCGATTAGGCACTGTCAGGCACTCAGAAATGCAAAAATGTGTGTGTATCTTCTCTTCACTCAGCAACTGTTATCAAAAGATTATGTACCATATAATCTTCTGGGGTCTGGGGTACAACAGTGAATAAGAGACAAAAACTACTGCCCAAAAGGACTTTGTGTGTGTGTGTGTGTGTGTGTGTGTGTTGGGGGGGTTGGCGGGGAGAGGTGTTATAATAAATAATTAAGTAAAATAAAAGAATATACTAGAAGGTTATATGTGCTATGGAGAGAACTTAAGCAGAGGAGGTAGATAGGAAGAATTCATATGGGGGATTACAATTTTTAATAGCGCGATCAGGTAAGGCCTTAGTCAGAGGATGAAATTTGAGCCAAGACTTAAAAGAAATAAAGGCGTATGCTAGTGCATACACTCGAAAGCAGGGACGTATTGCTTGCTTGAAGACATCCTAGGGGAGCAGTGTAGCCGAGACAGAGAGAGGGACAGAGAAAGAAAGGAGATGATAATGAGGACTTAGATAATATGGGGTCTTAATAGTCCAATATAGAGACTTTGGCTTTGATGAGTAAGATGGAGGGTCACTTAAAGGTTTTGATCAAAGGTATGACAGAAGTGGCTCATTTTAAAAGGATATCTGTGATGGCAGGTTTAGGGGAAATTTCCCAAGTTGTACTCAAACTGACTTCCAAAGGAGGAAAGGGCTGAGAGACCAAAGGAAGAGGCTGACAATTCCAGAATTAAACAGAGTTTATTAAAGGAACGTACAGACAGAAGTAGAGGCTTGGGTAGCAGCAAGGCCGTAGATCTCCACACCTGAAAGGGGCTGGAAAGCCTCAGAAATGGAGAAGTTTGTAGCCAAGTGGCACAGCATTTGTTAAGCGTTGTATACCCCAAGGCAGTAAACAACTTAATGGACAAACTTCTCTATGTAAGAACACTCCTTGCAGGTGATACTGGCCCACCCTCCTGGGTGGAACTGGAAATCATTGAGAGCAGCTTGCTTAAAATGAGGTGGGACATCAAGCACTAGAAACCATTTTGCCTAACAGCAGGCTTATGAATAGACTGAGGAGAATAATTTAGTGGAAGCTGAGAGTTCAAGTAGGAGGTTAATGGAATAAGCCAAATGAGAGGTAATGGCAGTTTGGACCAGGGTGGTCCAAATGGAGATGGTGAAAAGTGGTTGGATTGCAGATATATGTAAGATTAAAGTCAAGCGTTTTGTTGCTGAAATGGCTGTGTGGAATAAGGAAAAGTAGAATCAATTGTGACTAAAACTGCTTGGTCTGAGCAATTGATGGGTTGACAGGGTGGAGCAGGGTTTTGGGTAGATCAGAGGTTTGGTTTTCAACACTCTTCCCAACCTTCAAAAGACAACTATGTGAGGTGGGTTTTGTTAATTAGCCAGATGGGAGGAATCTTTTCACAATGTGCATGTATATCAAGTAATCATGATGTACACTTTAAATATCTGACAATTTTATTCGTCTGTTATGCCTTAATAAAGGTGAAGAAAAGAAATGTTAAATTTGCATTGTCTACTGCAAAGCCACTAGAGATCAAGCAAGAAGCTATCTACACAACTCCAGATTTCAGGGAAGAAGCCTAGGCAAGATAGATAATTTGAGCATGGGCAGCATAGAGATGGCATCAGGTCTAGAGAGTATGATATAAAGAGAATGAGGGTAGATGAGAAGAAAATAGGTCTAAGAGGATGAGCCAACAAAGAAGACTGAGAAGCATTATAGGAGACATAGGGATGTAGGCGAAAACCCAGAAAAGCGTGAAGTCCTGGAAGCCAAGTAAAGAAGGTATTTCCAGGTGGAGGAAGTGACAAATTGTAGCAAAGACAGCTGCTACGTTTGAGAACTGACCACTTGATTTAACAACATGGAGATTAGTGGTGAGTGAGAAAATCAGTCTTCTGTTTTGAGCCTTTTCTATTCAATATGCCTTTTGCCATACATCTCTCAATACTATGTATGCAAAGCCATCAATATAATTGATTTCCTATTATCTTTCAAATCTTAGGGTTATCAAGATGAAAGGCATTGTTCCTGTTTTTGTAAATAAAGCTTTATTGGAATGCAGGCATGCACATTTGTTAACATTTATGATTGTTTTGCACTGAAATAGCAGAATTGAATAGAGACAGAGGCCATATGGATCACAGAACCCGAAACAGTTCCTGTCTCTGAGGACCAGGTGTCACTCAGAGTTGAACACTGTTCTCTAGATGTGGGCTGACGAAGACCATATAGAAAGAAACTATTATTTTTTTATGTTTCTATTAGTGTAGTTTAAGTTTGATTTCTTTTGTGGGGATAGGTAACCTCTAGGTCACTACTAAGCCTTTTTCTTTTTCTAGTAGTTTTAGGCTACTGCTTTTGAAAACTTTAGTTCATAAATTCATACCTAGAAACTATACTGTAAATTTATAACATAGCTCCTCTACCATTCCTTTTCCAGTATTTTGAATGGGCAACATTTTTTTTTTCCTTTTGCTTGTTCTGGAATAAAAATGCTTTCCCATGAGGTTTTGTGAACTATTCCCTGAAGCTTAAGTTCTATTACTTAAAATATCATTTCTTCTATTTTAATTTTTATCTCAGTTTATTTTTATAATCCTAATTTTGATCATTGTTTAATTGTTATCACCAAAGTTTCCTTCCATCATTATATTTTTACTTCTGGTTTCGAAGTTGTCTTTCCAATATGACTTTTTACACCTTATAGCTTTAAAATTATGACATTTTAACTTTTGTTTTTGAAGATGTCATCCAATATTATTTCCTACATTTTACATCTTTCAAAATGACTGTCTTTACATAAAAGATTATAATATAATCTTTTATATTATAGATTTTATATTATATATAAAAGATTATATATAAAATCTTTATATATATATATAAAAAAAGATATAATCATTTTGTCAAATTGTCCAGAAAAAAACAAACAAAACAAAACAAAAACGTTCCTTTTAGATGAATGTATGTAAGAGGTTTGTAATTTCATCAGGATACCAGCAAGTAAAGCTTTGTCAGAAAAATAAAACAAAACTCATGACATTTTTATGTTAGTAGTATTTCTCTTGGGCCTTCATTCACTCACTTAGTTTATGCTTCTTATAGCAGGTCCCATGTGGACACTGGGGCTACAAAGATTGCTGGGGTTCAGGGTCTCTCAACCTCAGAACTACTGACATTTTGGACAGGTCACTTCTTTAATAACAGGCCTACATGAGCCTCGTAGGATATTTACCACATCTTATACAGTCTCTACTCTGAAGACTTATTTTCTAAATGGGAATGACCTTTAAACGACTAATTACTTCATAGGGTGATAAGTGCTAGGATAACAGTATGTACAGATTGCCATAGGGGTTTAAAAGAAGGAACACCTAACAGTTCTGTAATTAGGAAAAACGTTAAGAGAGGTGACATTTCAGCTGGGTTTTGAAGAACCTTGCTATATAAATCACATGGATTTGCACATATGAAAAGAAACAATGAAAATAATAAAAGAGTATAATATTAACATGTCTCCTTAAAGGACGTGAACGATTTTGGTCCAAAGAAACTCTAAAAATTCCCATTAGAGTTTGTTGCAGGACACCCCATTTTCCTACCCTCATGCCTGGCTAAGGGGGTTTCTGGGATGCCGCTCTCTTGTACACTATGGAATGCTGAGCAGCCTCCAAGGCCTCTCTCTACCCACCAGATATCAGTAGCACCCTCTGCAATTCTCACAACTAAAATACCTCCAGATATTTTCAAAATGTGCCTGGGGGCAAAGTCACTTTGAGTTGAGATCCACTTCAGGCCTAGAGAAATATTTCAGGATTTTATCTCCTCACTTTATTGATTGGGAGAGGGGTGAAATTCTTATCTCCATTTGTTTACCTCCTTACTATACGAGGTGGGCTCCCACGTGGTCTGTCCTTATGAATTCAAGCCAGTCTGCTGGACAAATGGACTCATTTGACTTAACACTTTCATCCTTACAGTAAATACATGCAGATCTGGGGCCTATCTTTCTATCCGCACAGGGATCCCACTGGTGTGATTTCCCTTTATGAATGACTGGCCTTGAACACATGATCACCACCACAGGTCAGCGAGCAAATATTAGGATGGATCACAAGTTTGGGCCACGTTCTCAGTCAGGAATGCTGACAATCTGATCT